CCCCCCTCAATATCTTCATCCCCCCCCTTGTCATATTAAATGAACTTTCCCTAACGAACCCGATGTAATTAACCCGTATAATAGTCATTTTACAAAGGCGAAGAAACACAACTTGTGTCAACATCTTAATTTCGTCCGGTTGTACGTGGTTGTATCGATTAAATGGACTGAAAGACACTTCAAAGAAAGCTGAATACGTGCTTAAGGCACATTTCACACAAGTGCCGGGAAGTGAGGAAATACACTCGTTAACTAAGTATTCAATTTGTCATAGAGTACTAAAGTGTGACGTCATAAAAATGAAATTTCTGAAATTTTGGGATTTGTCAGGATATTCAGAAAGAACAATGTCCAAGAGGCCTACTTGCCAAAAATGAGCATTTGGGGGCAAATTGTCTCTGAGATCGTAGCCCAGTTATGCTTACAAAACCCCATACAAACCCTTCTAAATTTTTTTGGGGTCGACCCAAGAAAAAATTAGAAGGGTTTGTATGGAGTTTTAAGTTTTGCTTAATGGCGGTTTTATGCGTTTTATTGAAAGGATTATAGAGAGGACAAACCGCTTGCAACATAGCCATTAATGGACTCGGAAACCACAAAGGAAAGAAGAATAACATATAACTTGAGTAAACACCTCATTTTAGTCAGGCATGCTTGTATCGCTTAGATCGATTGAAAGACATTTGAAAAGCATTACGTGCTTAGGTTATATTTTACTATAAAAGCATTTCAAAGGGGCAACACAGTTTAACTAGCTGTTTTTGTGTAAAAGGTTAGTAACAGTCGTTGCATACCCTAAATAAGCGATAGCCGATACCTTTTTTTAACACTTGGATTGCAATTGATGAATTTAATTTTGGCAAAGAAAAAAAAGGAAGTTAAGAATTGATTAGAAATTTCAGTTTTGATCTTTCTTCTCAAACTTTCTTCTCGATTACCCAAGACTGTGACAACGGTTCCCAAGGTAATTGGTAAAAAAAGAATTGACATCTCTTTTCAATTTTTATTTGAATTGCAAATTAAATGGCGAATGACAATGAATACTCTGATAAAGTGTGGTTCATGGCCAGGCCAGTTATCATTTGGTGTTATTGTGCCTTTATACTGAGTCCCAATATGTATCAGTTCGCCACACCGAGGAAAATGGTTACATGTTTCTAACCTTCTTCCACCCGTCCACTGCATGTCTTCGCGTTATGTCGCGCGTTTATTCGGCGTTTACTTTTTTTGTCTTTTACCCTTTTCGACTGACTGAGAACTAGAAACCAGATTCGTTTGTGTATATACAGTATATCGCATCATTTTCTGGACGCCTTATCGTCCGGACTAGCCTGAGTATCAGGCCTTCCTAAGGGGCTAGGGGAGAGGAGATTTTAGATTTGGGAGCTCTCTCCCTTTTTCGCTTTCATCTTTCCCCTTTCCCCCCAGAAACGCCTGATACTCTGGCTACGTCCGGGCATACAGCTCTTCTTTTCTCTAATTCTTCACATGGTAAACATACGGTTTGAAATAATACTCCCACACTATTGCTTGCCTTCTTTCACCAACTCCTAACCTAAATCTATTTGTTCAGCCAGGAGTCTGCCTTTATTTTTAATGAAGAAGGTAAAATTCAATTCTTAAGAAACTTGCCTTTGGCTGCTTGTTAGCCCCGAACAATTCAGTATCATAACGTATTTTGCAAGCACTTTAAACCAGAGTTTGGAATTAAGTTCGGCGTCTGAATCTGAATTCAGCCGGCCTAAATAATTTGGGTCGGCCTTTTAATTCGAATCAGGTTTGGTTCATGAAAAGCCGTTCTGCGTCTGGACCGGGCCTTTTAACAAAAGTTTTTGCAAGAGAGAATCGAGCTGTTTTTTAGAGGTTCCGCTAAGAGTGGGGTCGACCTTTTCGAATGCCTGAGTTAAAGCATTGGAGAAGAGTCATACTGAGGGAGCGCTTTTTAATTTTGGCGAGGAAATTATCGCTTTCACATCGAAAGTGAATGTATCAGGTTTTCGCTTGAAATTTGGATCAATCTAGCTGGTTTGTCGCACAGTCGGCGATTTTCTGTGTTGCTTCTTCGGCAGTATTGCTACACTGCATGTGAGGTCAGATGATGCCACCGCCGCTCAATTCGCTCTGAAACTTAATAGAACGAGAAATCAACATCAGATAAGTATAAGTATTTATTCTGAGTCCTTTGCCATAGAAACACATTACACTTGAGCCATACATGCTGCCCAGTTTTGAAGTCAGGACAACTACATTCAATGGACAGCTGATGTTTACTAAACTTCTTACAGGCACTAACAGGATAGTACATGATTTTCATTTGCTAAAGTGCTCCACCAACCTCGAACTCTTAATATATTAATTTACGTGCACATTTTTGCAACTTTCGCCTGTACAACAGTTAAGGACAGTTCACGAGTCTTTTAAGAGCTTGTCGGTAATTGCTGCTGAAAATAAAACAGATAATCGGGTTGATAGCACAGTACCCTGCCGCCATATAGTAGGTGACTTCATAGTATAGCCAAAAACCACAGGAAAAATGTATGGAACTGGCTTGGTACCTTATGATAATGTTAGTAGAATAAGGTAACCAGCAAAACACGAACACTAACACGATAGCAATGGACATTTGAAGCACGTTTCTGTTTCGTCTTTTCTTTTGTTGCTGTATGTTCGCGGACTGTTCACCTGGATGTGCCTGTGTCTTGAGCTTGATGAGGATAATAGAGTAAAGAAGCACCAACACCATCACAGGGATGTATGTAAACAGAATAGTGCATGCCAATTGGTAGTCGGCAAAGGACGAGGACTCTCCGAATGCTTCCTCCCATCTCACCACGCAGATCATTTCCCCTGCTGAGTATTCAACGAGTTTCT